TCACGGAGTTTTGAGATGAGTCCGGAAGGGATAATGGTGTTGAAGGCACAGCTGTAATCGATGAGTAGGAGCCTGACGTGGGTGTCCTCATTATCCAAATGTTCCAGGTGGGGACTTCAGATTGTAGCAAGGAAGGTTGAAGATGTCGGCGAATATTTCCGCCAGCTGAAAAGGATCCATGAGCACGGCTGGGGACTCCATCTGGGCCAGTTCTTTCCTTGGGTTTACTCTCAGGAAGGCTGGTTTGACGTCTGCAGCGGTGATGGAGGGAACAGATGCATCCGAGGCTGTCAGGGCAGGCAACACCGTGCCACTGGCATTCTGCTCGAACCGAGCATAGAAAGCATTGAGCGTGTCACGGATGCGTGTGTCTTTGTCCACTATTTTGTTCTGCTTTATTTTGTATCCCGTTGTGTTGCGTAGGCCTTGCCACAAGTGGCAGGTGACCGTATGGTCTTTTCGGGCCTCTAACTTGGTCCAGTACTGCCTCTTGGCATCTCTAATGGATGCCTCCTTCCTCTTATACTTTTATGTCACAACTGACTAAAGCATATGCCTTTTTAACTGTCCTATTCACGAGCTCTGCTGACGTCGGGGATTTGTGAATAATTAATCCAAGATCACTCTATTCCTCTAAGCTAAGCAGTGTCCTGCCTTTCATTAAATACTTCCTCATCTTGTTTCTTTTTCCAAAGTGCATCACCTTGCACTTATGAGGGTTAAATGTCATCTGCCACTTCTTTGCCGGACTGACCAACCCATCTGTATCTTCCTGCAACCTACAATTATCTTCTTCTCTATTAACCACTCTACCAATCTTAGTGTCGTCTGCAAATTTGCTTAACAGTCCCTCCACATTTTCATCTATATCACTTATATATCCATATATTTTTGTGCATCATTTTTGTATATTTATTTGTGTATGTAAATAGTTATCCTACAATAAGAGCTTAAGTAAATTGGACCTATACTCTGAAGCTTAGAAGAATCATAGAATCCCTACAGTATGGAAGCAGGTCATTCGGCCTATGGAATCTACACCAACGCTCTGAACAGCATCTCACCCAGACCCAAACCTCCTACCCTATCCCTGTAACACTGCATTTCCCATGGCTAATCCACCTAGCCTACACATTCCTGGATACTACGGGCAATTTAGCATGGCCAATCCACCTAACCTGCACGTCTTTGGACTGTGGGAGGGAACCAGAGCACCTGGAAGAAACTCATGCAGACACGGGGAAAATGCACAAACACCATACAGACAGTCAACCGAGGGTGGAATCGAACCCAGATGCCTGGCACCGTGTGGCAGCAGTGCTAACCACTGAGCCACTGTGCTGCCCATTGACAGAGTAGACACTGGGAATGTTTCTCCCTGGCTGAGAAATCTAGAACACAGGAGCATATTTTAGGACTGAGGCGAGGAGAAATTTCTTCACTTGAAGTGTGGTGAATCTTTGGAATTCTCTAGCCCAGATGGTTATGCATGCCATCAATTCATATGTTTAAGGCACAGATAGACAAACATGTCATTTCTCCTGGAATCCAGCAATATGGGGAGTGAGTGGGAAAATAGAATTTAAGAAGATATCTGCCTAAATCACACTGAGAGTGGCAAAGTAAGCTAGAAGAGCCATAACAATGCCTGTTCTTATTTCATACATTCTTCAAGCATTGGCCATTCAAATGGAGAAAGGCTTGCCTTGTTATAAATGTGTAATCTCATGAGTCTGGAATTGTTCTTTAATCAGTGCTCTTAATCAGGCCTAATTAGCATATCAAAATAAGATTCCGTACAAGTACCGTACCCATGATTAAAAACCATAGCTTGAATGATACTTGGATGATTATTAGACCTGCTGCAAGTAACAACATTTTACTGAGTTATACCAACTGATCATAATTTCTACATGCATATTAGTCATGAAATAGTCTTATTTAATCAAAACGAACCTAATTGGAATTCTACAGCAACATTAATTTTAAATTATGTTCTCTACAATCTTTGAGATGAAAAGTGATTTTGTAGCAAAGTCATGCAATTATGAGTAAACACAGCTTTTCTTTTGATTACAGCACCCATAGCCACTAGAGATCAAATGAATCGACATATTCATAAAATAAATCTTCATAAAATCTCTATAGTGTGGAAACAGGCCATTTGGCTCAACAAGTCCATACCGAATCTTCGAAGAGCACCCCACCCAGACTCACACCCCCATCCTATATTTCTCATGGTTGACCCATCTAACCTACACATCCCTGGACGCTACAGGCAGAAACTGCAGAAATTCACCAAAGATCCTCAGACAGTACCATCCAAACTCACGACCACTTCCATCTAGAAGGACAGGGGCATCAGACATATGGGAACTCCACCTCCACCAAGTTCGCCTCCAAGTCACTCACTATCCTGACTTGGAAATATATCGCTGTTCCTTCACTGTCGCTGGGTCAAAATCCTGGAATTCCCTCCCTAATAGCATTGTGGGTCAACCTACAGCAGGAGGACTGTCGTGGTTCAAGAAGGTAGCTCGCCACCACCACCTCAAGGGCAACTAGGGATGGGCAAGAAATGCTGGCCAGCCAGCGACGCCCACATCCCACAAATGAATAGAAAAAAAAAATTTAGCATGGCCAATCCACCTAACCTGCACATCTTTGGACTCTGGGTGGAAACCGGAGCACAAGGAGGAAACCCACACAGACACAGGGAGAATGTGCAAACTCTACACAGACGGTTGCCTGAGGCTGGAATTGAATCCAGGTCCCTGGTGCTGTGAGGCAGCAGTGCTAACCACTGAGACAGCGTGCCGCCCAATATAGATCAGAAACTAAATTGGGAACCTCGTGATCTGTACATATTAATTTATAATAGGTAGCACTATTGTCTGTTAGTATTATTGTCTGTTAAACATCTAGAGAACTCCTACTTATCAGTTTTAACATAAATAGCATAAATAGCTTCCGAGTTCACCAATCAATAAATGTCTCCTCATTTAACATCTGTATTGGCTGCTGGACCCAACTTGATTTCTCTCTAATGTTTTAATAAAACAACTTTACTCCTGTACAAAAGTGGAAGAATTTCAATGGCAGATTGGTTAGCAAATTAGAAATGTTTGGGATTAATGGGTCCTTGGCAGCATGGATTAGAAGTTGGCTAAAGGATCAGGAACAGAAGGTAGCTATAGATTGGCATTTCTCAGACTGGAGACAAGACGAAAATGGTGTTCCCAAAGGATCGGTGTTTGGACCCTTGCTTTTTCTGATTTATGCAAATGACTTGGAGATGGGTGTTGAGGGAAAAATCTCTAAATTTGCAGATGATACTAAGCTAGGGAGAATAGTCAATTGTGAAGATGGCGCCGAGCAACTTGAAAGATATTGACAAGTTGGCCAATTGGGCACAAACCCGGCAGATGAATTTCAATGCAGAGAAATGTGAGGCAATACATTTTGGCAGAAGAAACATGGAGAGACAATACAGGCTTAAATGGTACAACTTTGAGGAGAGTACAGGAGCAGAGGGACTTCAGGGTTCACGGACACGATTCTCTCAAGGTGGCCAGGCAAGTTGAAAAAGATGTTAAGAAGGCCTATAGGATCTTTGGGTTTATGTTGAAATAGAGGCATAGAGTATAAAAGTAAGGAAGTGATGCTACACCTCTACATATCATTGGTCAGACCACATTTGCAGGATTGTGAGACAACAAGGTGCAGGGCTGGATGAACACAGCAGGCCAAGCAGCATCATAGGAGCAGAAAGGCTGACGTTTTGGGCCTAGACCCTTCATCAGAAAAGGATTTGAAGAGGTAGATTGAATGAGAGGTGAAGAGCAGTCTGTGATAACGTAAACAGCTTTAGAAGCCTTGGGGCTTTTTTTAAAGTTGGAACAATAGAAGCAGCCTGTGGCCAGCTCTCTCAGACCAGGATTTCTAATTTTATTTTAAGTTTCTTAGGTTTATCTATAGGCAGAAGCTGCTAGAGTCTTGAAGATGTAGAAGCTATTTTCCCCCTCTCTTGGTTATAGCTCGAGGCTAGGGTTTCTCATCCTAATGCAGGTTTTGCATGTGAGAAAATGTGATTGCTGAATTTGCCTTTTTGCCAAGGGCTGTGTTCATAGGATGTTACTACATTGGAACTGTTAAATAGTAATAGCTACTACATCTATTATTCTGTTAAGTTTTCCAATAGAGTTAAGTTATTCTAAGTTCTTCTTTGTTTTGTTGTATTTTAACTATATAGTGTTTGAATAAATTGTGCTTTGCTGAAAACTGAGTAGTTTGACCAAGCAAATTGTATTTGAAACACAGCACTTTACATTTGCCTTTAAAATAGGAAAAGTTAGGGTCTAGGCTACCTTCTGAAAATATTTTGAGGGAGTCTGGTCTGGTCCATAACATAACATAATTGAATGACAAAGGCAACAGTTAGAGTAATTCTTGTTGGAGACAGTCATTGCCTGGCACTTGTATCGTGTGAATGTAACTTGCCACTTATCAGTCCAAACCTGCTTATTGTCCAGGTCATGGACAATATTTGGACGTGGGCTGCTTCATTATCTGAGGATTCGTGAATGGTGAACATTGCACAATCATCAGTAAACATTCCCACTTCTGTCCTTATGATGGAGGTCATTATTGAAGCTCCATCTCCACTTCCTTCCCAGCTCACCATAGGAACAGAAGGAGGCCATTCAGTCCATCAAGGCTGCTCCACCATTCACTAGACATGGCAACTCTATCTTAACTACTTGGTAAGTAAATATATTCAAGCTGGTGGAGAATCGACAGATCACCGGAATGAAAAAGTAACTCGCTTTTAAAGACAACAATTGACTTGGCATCACTTACCTTCTGGGACAGGCCATTTTGTTATCGCGCAACCTTGTCCATTCATCTTTGAAAAGAGAGTTAGCTTGAATTCTAAAATTCAGTCCAGTGTACTGGATTTTATTTCTAGAAGGAAAAGTCATTTCCCACTGACCCCTTGAATGCCTTTTATTAATTTAAGACCTCAATTAGCTCCCCACTAAATTGCTTCGAAGAAAACAACTTGAGGAAGGGTCACTGGACCAGAAACGTTAACTCTGTTTTTCCCTTCACAGATGCTGCCAGACCTGCTGAGCTTTTCCAACAATTTCTGTTTTGTTTCCTGATTTACAGCATCCGCAGTTCTTTCCTGTTTTTAGTCACTTTAGTGTCTTCATTTTAATGCATCATCATTTTACATTCTCCAAGGCCAGGACTGTAAATCCTTCCTGAGGCCAGGCACAACAGTAATTCATAGAATACCAACTTAGGCCTGTTATGAGCCCTATGGAGATCAACAAACCAGAAGAATCAAATTTACCGAATGACCCCAATGGAAAAACCAATAGACTTTTACTTTACCAATCAAACCAAAATCAACATGAATTAACAGGAAAATTACAGTCAATTTAAACGACGAATTACATTTGAAGTGGAAGAAACAACAAAGAGAAGTCTCTCAGAATTGCCAGACTATTCCCTCAGCGCATAGAGCATCAATCTCAGCCACAAAGTCCTTCAAAGCCCTGACATCTTTAGGTACAGTTCCAGCTCCTTCTTTTTCCCCCAGAATTTAGCCACTGATTCTCTTACGACAGCCACTCCTAACCGACCCAAGTTCCGTCTTTCCCAAAATGATGTACTGTTCCAGAACCTCCTCAGCTCTTCTCACAACAATCTTG